ACTGTAGTGATATCAAACAAGACGAAGCGCACTCTTGGCAATCTGTTAATTAGAGTTTCACTGCTTTATTAACTCCAAAAGCAGACAATGATAGCGTATCAACTTTTCAGCCATAACAGTCTCAACAGGACACGTTTTGCAATATGTCGTTTTGCACAATAAACTTAAGTATCCTACAAGATATCCGAAGTGAGGCTGGCTGTGAAAAGGAGGCTCTGTGTGAACATCCTTATTTAGTGAATTAACTGCTAATATAAGACGGTCTCAACACCTGTGTCTATCCTGCCTAAAAGTACAAAGTATATAAATAAATAAGATATAGACTAGATTGCACTACTACCAAGCGATGGGAATAAACTCTAGTAAATGATGATATGCTATGATGTGCTTTTTTCTTTTAATCTAGAGTTGTATTCACATATTTTTGCTGAATACTTCAATTTCATGTGTTGGAAGCAGGAAAATGGGCAAGCGAAAAGATCTGAGTGACTTTGAAAAGGGCCAAATATTGATGGCTAAACGAGCACCTCCAAAATGAGAATTCTTGTGTGTTGTTCCTGGTATGCAGTGGTTAGCACATACCAAAAGTGGTACAAGGAAAACCAGAGAAGCAGCGTTGGGGTCATGGGCGCCCAAGGCCCATTGGTGCACATGGGGAGCGAAAGCTAGCTCATCTGGTCCGATCACACAGAAGAACTACTGTAGCTCAAATTGTTAAAAGAAATGCTGGCCATGATAGAAAGGTGTCGGAACACACAGTGCATTACAGTTTGCTGCGTATGGGGCTGCGTAGTTGCAGAACAGTCAGTATACCCTTGATAATCCCTTAAAGTTCCTTCAATGTGGATGTGAGTGTCAAACCTGGATCATGGAGCAATGAAAACAGGATGCCTGGACCGATGAATCACATTTCCTTTTAGATTAGGTGGATGTCCATTTGCATGTGCATCATTTACCTAGGAAAGAGGTGGCAGCAGGATATCACCTCTTTCCCAGGCTGGCAGAGGCTGTGTTATGTTCTGCTGTGAAGCCTTAAGTCCTGGCAGTCATATGAATGTAACCTTAACAAGTATCACCTACCTAGAGATTGTCACAGAGCACGTGCACCTCTTCATGACAATAATGTTCCCTGAGGGCAGTGGCCTATTTCAGCATGATGATGCACCCGGCCACACTGCAAAACTTTTTTAGCAATGGTTTGAGAAACATGACACAGAGTTCAAGGAGTTTCATTGGCCTCCAAATTCCCCAGATCTCAAGCAAACTGAACATCCATGGGATGTGCTGGAACAACAAATCTGATCCATGGAGGACCCTCTCGTAACTTGCAGGACTTAAAGGATCTACTACTAATGTCTTGGTGCCGGATACCACAGGACATACATACATACATACATACATACATAGACTAAAGACAATAAATAATATTGGTGTTTAAAATCCAGGAGTGCCAGCAATTGATTATATATATTGTATATATATATGAAACCAGGGGGCTGCACTCAACATGCATAAATGGGGTGCTGCTGGGGGCCAATTTATACAATACACAAGATCCAGCGCACTCACCTATCCACTAAACAGCAACTTCAATATTGATAGATTTTACAATTTTTTTTAAAAACACACGCACATATATATGATACACTAATAGGTGTATCCAGCTGTTTATATCACTCTGACGAGGAGATTCAGTAACTGGAGAAGTTATACAAAGTACAAAGGTATATTTTATTTATACGGTGCTTATAGGTAAGCTCGGAACGTTGCAGGTTATGTTACAGTAGGCAAATATCACAATGACCACAGTACTTATATAGTGTATCTATGATTTATTGATATACCGCTATCGGGTATGGACTTGTAACACCATATAAATTATATTACAGTATAAATTATATTACAGTAGAATGGAGGTACAATAAATATAGCAGGTTTACATTGTATTTTAGTCGTTTTATCTTACTGTATCATACACTAGATTGGAACATTTACACAGTATAGGAATATTTATTCACCTTATGCAGTGTTAAGGATAGTGTAGGTATAGTGCTAGTGATACAGGCTATAGTACAGTAAGTGATGTACTTTATGGCTATATTACAGTAGAGTGTGTAGGGCCTTAACACGACGAGTGGAGATGCAATAAGTTCAGTAAATATGCACTGTATGTACTTTTAGTTATGTAGCACAAACAGCTCTTTACAGCTTACATTACGATCAAAGTGACCATACTCCAGGTATCGGTGATACTAGGTATACAGGTGTATTCATAATGGGTCAGTATAAGAGACCTGCTCTTGTAATAACATTAAGATAAATAAATTGTATTAAAAAATGTGCAATTTAAAAACTTGTTTTACTTATGTTTCAAAATATTGGCAGGTTGGCCATGTCAAAAATATTGTGATATGGTGTTCTAACAACAGGGGGCAGCAAAGGAGAAAGTTTTTAATCTAGATACAGCTATACAGTTTAGAAGCAAAAATAAAATATGTACCAGTTATGTAAAGACCTTCAGCGAAGTTCAAGTAAATTGTAAATTATGGGAGAGTAGTATGGGATATAGGAGGGAAGGAATGTTAGTTATCCTTAAATGTAAGAATTTTATTAAGAGCAGCGTGTTTCTCAATGTGATTACCTGAGATTTGAGAAATGCAGTTTAGTGGCAGAAGTGAGATTGGATGGAAGAACTATGGAATTCAGACAGTAAGGAGTTGCAGAAGTCCAAGCTGCAAAGGAAAGGGGAAACGCGAGAATGTTTTTTGTGGAACGGTGCGAAGAAGAAGAGGTGGGATTTTGCCATATTAAAAGGAAGACTTTTTTTCTTTTTTAATTTTCTGGCAGATGAATGGAAAAGTCATGAATTCAGCATGCTGTCGCAACAAGATATATAGTGACACCATCTCTGGTTTATTAAACAAAGTGAAAATATTGTAATTAGAATAATCAGGCCAGTCGTATATGTTTCAGTGGTGAGTTATGCACCATTCTGAAAGTCTGTACATTTTCTCATGATTCTTAAAGGGACTCTCCAGTGCCAGGAAAACAAACCCGTTTTCCTGCCACTGCAGGATCCTGCAATGCCCCCCTCCGACGTCAGCTGGCGGGGGAGACCTAATGCACATGTGCGGTAATGGCCGCACGCATGCATTAGACCTACGGGGAAAATCTGACGCTGGTGGTCGGTGAGTCAGTTTGGATTCTGGAAGCCCTCTAGCGGCTGTCTAGTAGACAGCCACAGAGGGCAGACTTAGAGCTGCAATGTAAACATTGCAGTTCTCTGGAATTACAATGTTTAACATTGCAGCACTAAGTGCAATAGGGGCACTGCACCCAGATCACTTCAATTAGCTGAAGTGGTCTGGGTGCCTGGAGTGTCCCTTTAACTCCTGAGTCACTACCCAAAACTGAGTTCTTGAGCAATTTTAGTAGGTAATAAATCTTTGCAACAGACACAGATCCCAGGTGATTACTTATAATATATTGTTTATTATAGCAGCAAAGCTCTCCCTGTTTAAGTGGAGAATTTAATGTAGTATATATTAGACTTTGGAGCTGCCAAAACATTCTTTTTAGCAATTCAGCGATTTTCGTTTCGACATTTACTTTGGCCAAATTAAAATCCAATCCGTGCCACAGGCTGCAGCTGCACCTTTAGTAGATAACTCCCTAAATTGGTATCATTGTGGGATTGCCATATTTCATGGTATCAAACTAGAGAGCTGTTTCGTAGATAGATCCTTATGGCAATGCCAAAAGTATTATGGAGCAATCTACAAAGACGTTTAAAGTCCAAAATTACAAAAAAAAACTTACTTTCTGTAATTTTGATATTTCAGATAACTTTACTAATACTAATTAAAAAATACTTTGTATTAGTAAATAAAGGAGGTTTAATCCTCCCTTCTACACCTACCCACAATGCTGTGAGTAGGGGCATGTATACTAAATATACTGTTGTAAAAAATAATAATTTGCCATTTTTATAGCGTTTCCTCCTTGTGAGACTCAAAGCACTTTACGAATATATAAAACAGACACAAAAGTTAAGAGTTTCTGATAAAATAGGTGGGTCTTTAGCTGTTTTTTTTTTTTATTATTAAATTCTTTATTTTTGAGTGCATAAAGAAGAATAACAAATGTGAATGCGTGTGTTATGTGACATGATCGGGTTTGGTTGGTCAGTGGTCTGGCTGCTGCATTTTGCACGGTCTGTAGGTGATGGAGACCCAATTAGAGTACATTATTGCAGTAATCTAAACCAGAGGACACAAATGCATGGATTAGGTGTTGTATCCGGCTATGTTTCTTACATGAAAGAAGGCTGATTATTATAAAGGAAATCTGCTGTTTAAATAATAGTCTAGAGTCAATCAGCACTCCAAGATATCTCTGTTGAACTCATGAGTTCAGAGCCTCCAAGTTCCAGGCCAGTTGGGTTATCATGAGGTATTTTTGCAAGGAGTTCTGCTAAGCATCTGTTGCTGAGGCATGTTGGGTATCGGGAGCAAAAAAGAAGAAAAAAGACTAGTGACTGGGACCAGTCGCTGATTCAATAAAGGGCGACCCGGAATAGGTCCCCCACATCCCCATGGTGGGAGCCTAATAAAATAATTAGCTGGGGGGACATAGTGTCTCCCCGTGCCTCCAACAACGTCCCTCGAGAAGAAGCGATTTATATAATAAAGGGACCTAGTGTCCCCTTCCATCCCGCACTCGTGGCTACTAAATAAAATGAACTGGGAGACTACACTAATCAAAGCACTATGACTCAAATTGCACGGCCTGTGAAAGCTTTAAGTTTTCCTTGCCCTGCAAGCTCAGGCTGTGCAGAGCTCTCGCAGGGTGAACATGGATTATTTTTTTTAACCAGAATTTTGTTTTTTTTCACAGTTGTTTTTTGTGCAATCAGGTCATTTTTAATTTTAATAGTTGCAACGTGACTTTATGTATTTGTATTTGGCTTTTTGGGGGGGCCAAAGGAAAGAAGATGGAAGAAAGGAGACATTTAATGGTAAGTAGTATTTTTTCATTTTAGAAGTAATTAAAAATAAGTATTATCAGGCTTAGGGAGGTAGGCAGGATGTTTTTATGGGGGGGGTGACTAGGGGCTTGGGGGACAATATGCTCCGCATTTAATAATTATTTATTATTAGCTTCCCCACCATTGGGGCTTGAGGGGCCTGTGCCGGTCCCCCTTTATAGGATAAGCAACAGTTCAGCAATAGCCGCCCACTTGCTAGCCTTTTCATTACTGTAACAGTGAGCGACCGCAGGCTGCTTGCTCTTTAGTAGACATACCCCTTCTTGCAGCATATCGGTTAGAGACAGGAGGGAAGATATTAAATAAATATTAATTAATTCATAACTAATAAATCTTACAATGAGTGAGCCGCAAGCCGTTGGCTACCTCTGTGTAATAAATTAAAAAAGAATGAACGAAAGCACTAATTATAATAAAAGAATGGTGTAATATAAAGTGCAGAAATCCCATGCAATATAGTGCTTTGCAGCTTGTTACCACCATGAAAACAATGACACAGGTTTTAACAACTAAAACATAGACATGCAATAAAAAAAAGATGAGCAGCGCACTATGTTTTATATGTTAATTTAAACCATGGTGTATTACTCTGCAATATACAGAACACTTGTCACTTCTCTGCTTGTGATCCAAGACACACAACAATGCTGAGCATCTCCACAAAGCAGGAACTTGGATATGGCCAGACCTTGTTAAGAGTTTAAATAAACACAGGATGCATTCTCAAGAGGAACAGTTTGCTCTACCTGAGATGCACTTGTCCAGAATTCTGAGAGCATCTGCTTGGTAGGGTGAAAGCTATTGTCAATAGACCTTGGGAGATCATTCTGCATATCACACTCAAGTGTATCTACCTGAGCCAGTGATATAAACAGGCTCTAGAAAATGTGAATGTGATACTTAGTGTTTATTTTATCTCAATATTCACTCAGTATACCAGCTGTTTTCCCTTATGAGACTGTGTGTCTGATTTTTCTAATGAATATCCAGGAAACTGTAAAGGGTATATACTCCTTTTTATTGTATAACACTATTTGTGGTACACTGTCACAAAAAAAAATATTTTTTAGTGCGCTGTTCACGTTTTTTTAGTGTGTGAAAGAACTAAAAACATTTTGTCCAACAAGCAATTCGTTCTTTATTTCACTCGTAGTCATTTGAATTCCTCCATTCGACAAATGGCCAAACTGCTGAAAATTCTGATGAAAACATGTTTGAAAATGTACCCCCAAGTCTAGTATATATTATAATACAATTTGTTAATAGGACACTGCACTGATTGTAAAACTGAATAATGAATCACCATGCTAATCCCATAACAACAATTATTGATTTTGGAATAGGCAATAAGAATCAATGTGATTAAAGAAGCCAAATTAACTAATTTACTAAATAAAATTAGGGTTAAGAAGTGTACATGGTCAGTATATGATTTGTCAGTGAGTTCTGATGGTACATAGGTACTGTTGGAATAAAGTGGCACATGGGAGAACACGGATTATTAGCTCATTACTTTCGTGTGGATTTTAAACCTTTAAACTTATTACAAATTTCGGGTAATATATTTTTAGAACCAGATTTCATGTGCACTGAAACCCGAGCTTTGTTGGTATAAAAACAGATCTACAGGAAGTGTCAGCAGGTATTTTAGCATCCATTTTTACTGTTAAAGCTAAAACATTTACATTAATTTCTATTTAAATAGAATTCTCTGGTTATACTTATTTTTAAAAAAGAGTACTTAGTTGAAGGGACTTGACAAATATACACTCTGTTCAAAATTATTATGTAAATTCTATTTAAGTGTCACAAAGATTAAATATTTTGTTTTTCAGTTTAACTCATGGATGGCATTGTGTCTCAGGGCTCTTTTGATCACTGAAAACAATCTCGGACACCTGTGATAATTAGATTGCCAGGTGATCCCAATTTAAGGGAAAACTACTAAAGGAGGGTGTTCTACATTATTAAGCAGAGCACTGTCTTCATGCAATATGGGAAAGACAAAGGATCTCTCTGCTGCAGAAAAGAGTGAAATAGTTCAATGCCTTGAACGAGGTATAAAAACATTAGATATTTCATGAAAACTTAAGCGTGATCATCGCACTATTAAGAGATTTGTGGCTGATTCAGAGCATAGGCGGGTTCGTGCAGATAAAGGCACATTGAGGAAGATTTCTGCCAGATCCATGCATCGGATCAAGAGAACAGCTGCTAAAATACCATTACATAGCAGCAAACAGATATTTGAAGCTGCTGGTGCCTCTGGAGTCCCACAGACATCAAGGTGTAGTCCTCCAGAGTCTTGCAACTGTGCATAAACCTTCTATTCGGCCACCACTAACCAATGCTCACAAGCAGAAATGGCTGCATTGGGCAGAAAAATACATGAAGACTAATTTTCAAACCGTCCTGTTGACTGATGAGTGCCGTGCAACCCTGGATGGTCCAGATGGATGGAGTAGTGGATGGTTGGTGGATGGCCACCCTGTTCCAACAAGGCTGCAAAGTCAGCAAGGCGGTGGTGGAGTAATGTTTTCGGCCTGAACCATGAGAGCTGGTCGGCCCCTTTAGGGTCCCTGAAGGTGTAAAGATGACCTCTGCAAAGTATGGGGAGTTTCTGACTGACCACTTTCTTTCCTGGTACAGAAGGAAGAACTATGCTTTCCGTAATAAAATAATCTTCATGCATAACAATGCATTATATCATGCTGCAAAGAATACCTCTGCATCAATGGTTGCTATGGGGATAAAAGGAGAGAAAGTCTTGGTGTGGCCTCCATCCTCCCCTGACCTCAGTCCTATTGAGAACCTTTGGAGCATCCTGAAGCAAAAAAGATCTTTGAGGGTGGGAGGCAGTTTACATCCAAACAGCAGCTCTGGGAGGCTATTCTGACATCTTGCAAACAAATCCAAGCAGAAACTGTCCAAAAACTCACAAGTTCAATGAATGCAAGACTTGTGAAGCTGCTATCAAATAAGGGGTCCTATGTTAAAATGTAACGTGACCTGTTAAAATGTTTAAAAAGTTAAAATGTTGTTATAAGTTTGATTGAAATAGCTTTTGATTTCAGTAAATATGCTGCAAACACAACAAATGACAATTTTCAGTTCTTTACAACCTATAAAGTGTTTTGAAACTTACTGTGCGTAATAATTTGGAACAGTGCATTGTAAGTTTTTTATGTTTAAAAAAAATACTGTTATCATTAGGAGGTTTGTTCAATAAAATTTGAATTGTACTCTTAAAGGACCACTATAGTGCCAGGAAAACAAACTTGTTTTCCTGGCACTATATGGTCTTTATTTCCCCCCCACCCTCATGGCCCCCCTCCCGACAGGCTCTAGCATGAGGAAGGGGTTAAACAATTACCTTTCTCCAGCGCCGGGCTCCCTCGGCGCTGGGGATTCTCCACCCTCTACGGCTGAATGCGCATGCGTGGCAAGAGCCAGTGTCTTCTCACTGTGAAAATCAAGGGAGAAGTGTGGAAGCACCTCAATGAGACAGCCACTAGAGGCTGAATTAACCCATATGTAAACATAGCAGTTTCTCTGGACCTTGCAGTTTCATTGAGCTGAAGTGGTCTGGGTGCCTATAGTGGTCCTTTAATAGTTAATAACATGAGAACTATGCTGACTGTTATTTACATGAATTATTTAGAAAAATGAGAAAAATATAATTTGCATAATAATTTGGAACAGGGTGTACAAAGCATGGAATAGAATAATTAAAAAATGTTTTAAAAATAATATTAATTAAAGTTCATAATTCTCAGTCCATAAAACAACATGATTCTTCAAGAGCAGGAGCCATTTAACTAAATCATCAAATATGTGTAATTCCTTAAAATAAAATAAAACAGGAAACATCTTCTTAATGGAGCGCTAATATGTGAGAAAAGCTCCCAGAAAGGCAACTCCAGAAAAAATGTAAGAATTAAGGGTACATGGTAAATATTTAGCAATTTAGGTAAGCATTAATCTGTGATTTTTTTTTCCAGTTGTGTATCTTGTCTGATTAGTTCCAAGTTATAGATTAAGCAAATTAATTCTGATATATAGATAAATATAGGCTAGTATTAATAACCCAAAATCCTTCTTGCTTTACATCTTGCCTATGCTAAAGTTGGGGACATCCTGTACTCTGAATCTTTTATATTTAGGGAATGTCTGGTAGAGCACAATCTCTGTGTGCCCCTTATTCCCGCACAATCTCAGCGTGTCCCTCATACCTGCACAATCTCTGCGTGCCCCTCATACCTGCACAATCTCAGCATGCCCCTTATTCCTGCACAATCTCAGCGTTCCCCTCATTCCTGCACTTTCTCAGCATGCCCCTTATTCCTGCACAATCTCAGCGTGCCCCTTATTCCTGTACAATCTCAGTGTGCCCCTCATTCCTGCACAATCTCTGCATGCCCCTCATACCTGCACAATCTCAGCATGCCCCTTATTCCTGCACAATCTCAGCGTGCCCCTTATTCCTGCACAATCTCAGTTTGACCCTCATTCCTGCACAATCTCAGTTTGCCCCTCATTCCTGCACAATCTCAGCGTGCCCCTTATTCCTGCACAATCTCAGCATGCCCCTTATTCCTACACAATCTCAGCGTGCCCCTTATTCCTGCACAATCTCAGTTTGCCCCTCATTCCTGCACAATCTCAGCGTGCCCCTCATTCCTGCACAATCTCAGCGTGCCCCTTATTCCTGCACAATCTCAGCATGCCCCTTATTCCTGCACAATCTCAGCATGCCCCTTATTCCTGCACAATCTCAGCGTGCCCCTTATTCCTGCACAATCTCAGCATGCCCCTCATACCTGCACAATTTCAGTGTGCCCCTTTATTCCTGCACAATCTCAGCGTGCCCCTCATTCCTGCACAATCTCAGTGTGCCCCTTTATTCCTGCACAATCTCAGCGTGCCCCTCATACCTGCACAATCTCAGTGTGCCCCTTTATTCCTGCACAATCTCAGCGTGCCCCTCATTCCTGCAAAATCTCAGTTTGCCCCTCATTCCTGCAAAATCTCAGTGTGCCCCTCATTCCTGCACAATCTCAGCGTGTCCATTTATTCCTGCACAATCTCAGCGTGCCCCTCATACCTGCACAATCTCAGCCTGCCCCACATACCTGCACAATCTCAGTGTGCCCCTCAATCTTGCACAATCTCAAAGCGCCCCTCATTCCTTCACTATCTCAGTTTGCCCTTCATTCCTGCACAATCTCAGCATGCCCCTCATTCCTGCACAATATCAGTGTGCCCCTCATACCTGCACAATCTCAGTGTGCCCCTCAATCCTGCACAATCTCAGTGTGCCCCTCAATCCTGCACAATCTCAGTTTGCCCCTCATACCTGAACAATCTCAGCGTGCCTCTCATTCCTGCACAATCTCAGTTTGCCCCTCATACCTGCACAATCTCAGCGTGCCCCTCAGACCTGCACAATCTCAGTATGCCCCTCATTCCTGCACAATCTCAGTGTGCCCTTCATACCTGCACAATCTCAGTGTGCCCCTCAATCCTGCACAATCTCAGTGTGCCCTTCATTCCTGCCCAATCTCAGTGTGTCCTTCATACCTGCACAATCTCAGTGTGCCCCTCAATCCTGCACAATCTCAGTGTGCCCTTCATTCCTGCACAATCTCAGTGTGCCCCTCAATCCTGCATAATCTCAGTGTGCCCCTCAATCCTGCAAAATCTCAGTACGCCCATCATCCCTGCACAATCTCAATGTGCCCCTCACTCCTGCATAAAGTGCTGGATTATGATGTAAAATCCCCATGTCTAATCTATGATATACATTGAGTTCAGGAAGAAAAACTATATTTCTGATACTCCTGGTATTCGAGTACCTGGCTACAACTTCTCACACAGTTCCTAATGCTGAGCCAATGACTTGACAGGTGTATTACTAAATATCACATGGTGTCATCAGAAATGAAACTGGTAGTAACAATAGTAGTATTGACTTGAGTATCAGTATTGCCCTAAAACAAGCATAAACCGTTTCAATTTTTAAACTTGCATGAAAAAAATGACACAGACAATAGCCGAATATTTCCATTTACTTTGTGACACAGTGTTGTGTTCGTTGCGCCAAAAAACAAGATGATTGATGATTAGGGGGACCTTCACTAAAGAAATAAATAAATACAATACATAATAAAGAATTAAAGGAGGAATCAACTGGTCCGAAACGCAAACTTCACTGAATGCTTGAAATATCAGATATTGACTGAATGTGGACCGTAGAAACATAGAAACATAGAATGTGACGGCAGGTAAGAACCATTCGGCCCATCTAGTCTGCCCAATTTTTTAAAATACTTTCATTAGTCCCTGGCCTTATCTTATAATTTGGATAGCCTTATGCCTATCCCACGCATGCTTAAACTCCTTTACTATGTTAACCTCTACCACTTCAGATGGAAGGCTATTCCATGCATCCACTACCCTCTCAGTAAAGTATAGTAAAGACCATATTTGACTGGTAAAATACCATTCTATTCAGTTGGAATTCAGTCAACCAAAATCTTCGGGAATTATTTGAATTTAAAAGGTCCACATAGGCTTTCCCAAATCGACGAATTTATATGGCCAAACCAAATTTCTCTGCTGTACACAGATATACTAACAAGTTTGCATTATTGCAAAGGTGATAATAGAGCTCCATGCACTCACTCTCAACTCTCAGTTTAACTTAAAAGTGCAGTGATTTATAAAAAAAAATGCTGCAGGTTTAAAGCAGCCTCCTAAACTGTCAGGCAGTTAATTTTTTCCTAGTTGTGTAACCTTTTCCTTCCAGCTCTGCTGCCCGGTGCCAAGCATCAGGGGGAGAAGCCTAATGAAAGGGGCAGGTGCAACCATGAGAGGACAGAGCTTAGTGTTGCACACCTTGCCGATCTGCTTCTTCGTACCCACTCAGGAATGGCTTTGGGCCAAATAGTGATGGCTAGATGAGTGAGTGAGCATCTCAAAAAAATGACAAGTCTTGTTTGGGTCTTCTTGGTATGTAGTGGTTAGTACCCACCAAAAGTGTTGCAAAGAAGGACAACTGGTGAACCAGTGTCGCTGTCATGGGCAACCAAGGCATATAGATGCACGTGGGACGATAAGGCTAGCTCGTCTGGTCTGATCACACTGTAGCTGATAAACTTGGAAGCCTGACATTCATATGGATGTTACTTTGACATGTACAACCTATCTTAAGATTATTGCAGACCACCATGAGATGTGCTGGAACAACAAATCTAATCCATGGAGACCCCAAGAAGCGACTTGAAGGACCTAAAGGATCTGCTGCTAATGTCTTAGTACTACCGGACGTGTTCAGAGGTCTTCTATCGTCTATGCCTTGACGCATCAGAGCTGTATGAGAGGAACAAACACAATATTAGGCAGGTGGTTTTAATGATGTGACTGATCGGTGTATATATAATGCATTAGCTATGTATTTGTAAATCAAATATTGATGTATCTACCTATTACTTTTTAAAACATTTTCATCCACTTCACCATTGATCTGCATAAATATTAAAAATCATTTTACCTTGAAGGACTTTTTCAGGGATTTCAAAGCATAGTTTCAACAGATGGGGTAAAAGTAGATGCACTAAATATTCCTGAACTCCAAACTTCTCACAAAGGCCTGGATTTCTGGATTTCTGAATTTCGATAATTAAGCACAGGTCAATCAATTTGACAAATATTTTATCTCCCCTGTGTTTACGCAAAGGATATTCCAAACCATCAATACCTAACCTTGTAAATGTGTTGGCGTTATTGAAATTTAACTACACGGTTTTAGTGATTTCAGAACCCACCTGCAAAATATAGACCAGAATTTCTACAATTCTACACATCGTGAAACGTAGCTGCCCTTGTCTAAAATGTTATGTTTGATGAATAGATCATTAAAATTTATTTGAAAATAGAAAATTTAAATTTATTTTATTATTTCAGCATGGGTTAAAATCATTATTCTATTTGATTACATTTTAAGAAGATATTTTCTTGAAATTTGTTTTTGAACATTTACAATTTGATTACGGTTTGTTGCAAGTAAAAATAAAAGTAAAATACTTTTTTATAAATCTCATCTCCTACAGAGAAAGTATTCCTTTACGAAATATGTGCGAATGTTGTCATGCTCTGAAGAGCCAGAAGAAGGCAGAAGACTCACATACTTTTGCTTAAGAAACAGATCAAAATGCGTACCACACAGTGCTACAACAATCCATTTTAATGAGACTTTGTAACTAGTAACAGTGCAGACAGTTCCAATTTAAAAAATGTTTTCTACCTAAAACTCCTTCCCAGACATTTTCAACAATAAATAGATTTAAAGTTAGAGATACGGAGGCCGTAGTTATCAACTGTTAAATGCCATATGGTGAAAGCTCTAATTTAGCTTGATAGTGTCTAACAAAATATCAGTATGCACATTTTTAGAATGCTGCAATACAATATAAAGTGTCTGCTGCCAAGATCACACCAGACTGTTATCCATAAGGCAAGCAATAGATGTTTAGTTTCAATTTGGTTCCGATATCTGTCTCAGATAGGTCATTTAGATATAAGATGAAGTATTGGGAACGGGATGTAATTAGATGTGTAGAGAGTCTTTTTGTTTTAAACATTGATCTTTAGAATTCGTTTTATCTGTGAACAGCAGGAAAAAAAGAACAAGATTTCTCATGAAAACCGTAAGAGAAAATCTCCCTTCTCAGTCTCAAATTAAGGTTCGTTAATGGTTTCCATATGCTGCCCTCCAGAAATGGAATTACGCTGTCTCAGAGGAACTCAACTCTCATCTACAGTCATTAGCAGAGTTCTTTGACCTAGCTCACTCATTCTCAATGGACTATTAATCAATCAGTATAATAATGGCCAGATATGGTCAATATGAACCTTACGTTGGTCTGTAACATGCGGAGCAGGAAAAAGTACAAAATGTTAATGTACATCACATCTTCTTTGTTTAAATATTGGAAGGTGGCTGAAATGTTAGCTCAGAATTCTATTGTGTTGTGACCATGAATATAACTATCATTTTGTTATTAAAATATTCACCATCTGACATTTAGTTAATATTGTGAGTCAATTACTAAGATTTGCTCTTAACTCATAATTTAGCAAAATAAAACAAGACAAAGAGACCCTTTTGTTCTTTACCATCAGGGTCAGAAAGTGCTATTTGTGCTATGAAGACCAAGGAAAGCTTATAAATAATAAGTGGGGCTATTTTTAGGCACAAAATGTAATTTAATTGATGAATGTCACCCAACACGTGGAACTGACAGATCTGATATATCACCTTCAGTCCCGCCAGCCTATTTAAATACTAGTTAAATGTCTGACATACAAATGTTTTCAAGGTCCTTTCAGCAGATACACAGATTATATTTGCTATCTTTTCATCAATCTTTTAAATCAAGCCTGTCTTACAGGAAAATTACAAGTCACATGTGATATTGCTAATTTTCTTTAATAGCCCTCTTTCCCCCCCACCACCATTCCGCAGATTGGATAAGAATAAAATAAATCAAATTAAACTATAAAGTAGTTTTAATTAAAAATAAAAAAAATACATTGTAGTTAAAAAAAAAAAAAAAAGATATGCAACACAGATTTTAGGATTTTCTGTTGGACTCATAAGTCTTAAAGGAACACTAGTGTTAGGAATACATATCTGTATTCCTAATGCTAGAATCTTGAAGTCGCTATTTAGTTCAAGTCCCCCCCCATCTGTTAGAAAAATAAGACAAATTACTCTTATCTTCTCCAGCGCTGAGCCTCACTCCTCGAGCCTTCTCCTTGAGTGACGTTGTTCTGGACCCGTGCCTCCAGGATAACGGACCGATCCTGAGGAGCATTGGGGACCTTAGGCGCATGTGCCCATAAAAGGCGTAATGGAAAGGAACAAAGTGGCATATTCATTTTATATTTTAAGCTGATATACCCAGAGCTGGTTTGAAGAGGCTCTGGGAATTTCTTTGGGATTTTTTTTAAAGGGAATTTAACATTGTACAAATATTCTGTACGATCAAGTGTTGTTTGTTTTTACACATATTTACAAATTATTTGAATAACAGATTTATTTCTTGGATGTACAAGTATTAATAATATTGCACTATATATGTATATGGGTTTTAGATAAAAGAGAAGAAAAACACTATTTTATAGTGATAATATTTAAACCTTTCTATCATGGCCATCATTAAGTTTTTCAGCAATTTGATCTATACAAGCTTTTCTGTATGATCAGACTTTATGGGCTAGGCTTTGTTCCCCACGTGCATCAATGAGACTTGGGAGCCCATGGCCCTGACTTCAGTTCACCAGTTGTACTTCCTTGCACCACTTTTGATAGGTTCTAACCACTGTACACCTGACAAGATGTGACGTTTTGGAGATACTCTCACTCGGTCATCTAGCTATCACTATTTGAACCTTCTCAAAGTTATTCAGATCTTTTCGCGTGACCATTTTTCCTGCTTAAAAACACATGACATTAAACAGGCTGTTCACTCATTGCTTAATATATCTCACCCCTTGACAGGTGCCATTGTAACAATTTAATCAACATTATTCACTTTTCCTGTCAGTTGTTTTAATGTTGTGGCTTGTGTATAATTACTCTTTAATTATAAGATGGACAATGGGTTGGGGTCATAGCATTTTTGTAGAATAAAAAAAAAAAATCAGCTTTGATCTTATTTTCCTACAAAGGGCCACTAATAGCCACCAGAACAACTACAGCTTATTGCATTTGTTCTAGTGAGTAAAATCATTCCCTTCAGGCTTTCTGCAGTAAATACTGTCTTTTCAGAGAAAATGCAGTGTTTACATTACAGCCTAGGGATACCTCCACTGGGTACTCCTCAGATGGCTGCTAGGGGTGCTTCCTGGAGCAGTGCTACACACTGTGACTGACAATCAGTGTCTCCATCCTCTGCATGCAAACCCTGATCTTACCTCAAAGAGCTACATTGATTCAATGTATTTCTATGGGGAGATACTTATTGGCCATGGCTGTGTTTGGCTTGTGCTGGCTCTGCCCCTGATCTGCCTCCTTGACAAGCTCAGCCAATAATATGTGTAAGCATTGTGATTGGCTCAGACCACCACTTCTGATTATGTCAGCCAAGCAGGCAGATCGGGGGCAAAACCAGCAGCAGCAGACTGCAATAAAGGTGTCAGGGTTTCTTTGCTGTTTTAAACAGCAACCCTTTCTGTGTCAGTGAAAGAGTTTTCAGCTGCAATTACTATCAGCTCCTTTTGCATGTTGCCACGGTTACTCACCTGAGAGTAGTAATCAACCCTGCTGCTAATCAGTGCTGCCTATTTAAGCAGCAAATCCCAGAACCTCCTTGCCCTTGCGTGGTTTCCTGTTCCCCAGAAGTCTCCTTGTTCCTGTGTTTCCTGTTTGCTCCTGGTTCCTGACTCCGGCCTTGTTCCTGACTCCGCTGCTCTCCGTGCTCCTGATCCTGGCTTGTCTGACTACCCGCTCTGGTGACTGACCCCTGCTTGATTCCTGGACTTTGCTTTTGTTATTTATTTGTTATTTATTAATAAAGGTGTGTTTGCATCTAGTTCTGTCTCTGTCTGGTTCCTGGTCCCTGACATTACGCAAGGGCCATGAATACAGATGGTACAGGCAAGACACCTATACCTAACCTACTTACCCGGTGGGACCAGCAGAACCACTATTTGGACCAGTATGCCCATCTGGATCCAGTACCCGGCCAGCCTGCGATTGCGGCCGTCTCTGCCTCACTTCCTGTTCTAGCACCGGTTGTAGCCCCCAAACCTGTAGCGGCTAGAGGAATGACTGGGTCTGTCCCGCTCCCTCAGTGTTTTGGGGGCAACCCAGCTCAGTGCAAAGAATTTATAAATCAGGTTAAAGGATACCTTGAAATCCTGCCCCAGGCATTTCCTACAGACAGTGACAAAGTTCACTTCATGATTTCTTTGCTGTCTGAAAAGGCCCTAGCTTGGGCAAAACCTCTCTGGGAGGCAGAGAAGCCTATTATTTACAATTACCCTGAATTTGTTGCGTCCTTTAAAAGGGTTTTTGATATTCCAGCTCGCTCCACCCCTACTGCCGAACTACTCATGTCTAATGCTCAGGGCACAAAAACTATTGTCGAGTATGCCAGTGAATTCCGTACCATGGCAGCAGAGGGTGGCTGGAACAACGAGACTCTCGTGGCTGCCTTTGCACAGGGCCTCTCCGATGTGTTTAAAAATGAGATTGCAGCCAGAGAATTACCTAAAGATCTCGAGGAACTGATATCAGTTGTCACCCTCATTGACATCAGACTCCGAGAGAGATCCTCATCCAGGGAGCGCCTGCGGAGGCCTCCTGTATATTTGGCACCGAGCTTTTCTTGCCCA